TCGCACCGTATTGATGGTGGGCTGAGGGCGAGCAGAGGGGCTGCCAGATGACAGCGGTGGAGGAGGCAGGAGCAGGTGGGAGGGCGGGCACTTGTGCGCCCCCGGGCATTCAGGTCTTAACTCTGGATCGGAAGCTCCCTCTTGACTGAACACGGGAACAGGATGGCGCTCAGGAGGAGCGGACACTTGAGGGCGCTTTCTAGGAGCGGGCACTGGAGGGCACTCTGGACTGGATTCGGGGACTGGAGCTCCTTTTCACACTCACACCGTCCGCGGCTTTCTCCCTTGTGGCGGGCATTGTCGCCGGCTCTCGCACCTGATCTGATGGCTTGGGCTCTCCTTCCGGGTTGGTCCTCCGCTCAGTCGCTCGGCATTGCGCTGGCTCGTAGATCGCGGCGGGAATGGGCTCTCCGTCATCAGTGGGCTCTGGCTTTAGCTCCGCACAGCGGGGAGATGGTGGGTTGGGCTCTGGGTCTGGAGTGGCACCGGCAAGATCCCCCTCGGGACAGACGGTGACCGGGGATCTTTGTCTCGCCAGTGTCCACTCCACAAATGAGGCGAATTCCGCTCGAGGGCCATTTTCGGACGACGGCGCTCTGCACGCGGGGTTGAGGCTGGCGTCATAGAACGCACAGAGCGTGTCGTCCGGGTAGGTGACGTGGGGTGGAGGCTGGCGTCATAGAACGCACAGAGCGCGTCGTCCGGGTAGGCGGGGAGATGGGCAATCGCCAGAAACAGTCTGGTATGACCCTCGAGCGATCTTTCCCCCTGCTCCAGCAGGAGGAGGATGTATTCAGGGCGGGCGAAAGGATCCATAAGGGAAACAATGGGAGAACAAAAACAAACACTGAGCGAAAAACAGAAACAAAACGGAGGGGAAACACGCAATTTAAACTGTTGTTGGTCCGGTATTCTGTCACGGTTGTACTACACAGAGGAGCGAGGAACGTGGAACAAGGAGACACAGGAGAATTCGCAGTAAACACAGTCTTTAATCCTTACAACACGGGGTATACAGGGCAGACAGGAACACATGTGGCACAAGTCCATAAGGGAAACAATGGGAGAACAAAAACAAACACTGAGCGAAAAACAGAAACAAAACGGAGGGGAAACACGCAATTTAAACTGTTGTTGGTCCGGTATTCTGTCACGGTTGTACTACACAGAGGAGCGAGGAACGTGGAACAAGGAGACACAGGAGAATTCGCAGTAAACACAGTCTTTAATCCTTACAACACGGGGTATACAGGGCAGACAGGAACACATGTAGCACAAGATGAACAATCAATACTAGACAAGGGAGAATAGCACAGGCTAGAACTTAAATGGGGCAGATAACGAGGGGCAGACAGGTGAGGAGGATAAACTAATAAGGAGACACACCTGGAAACAATGAACAATCAAACACACGGGAAAACTAGGCAGCAGAGCACATGGGGAGCAAAAACACAACACAGACAGTCCAGAAACCTGACAGTGATATTGTTGTTTATGTATGTTCATGATGAAATTTTCTTTTATTGTTGTAATTAATTTATAGCATTAACAAGATGACCCGTTGAATTCATTTTGGGAGCGATGAATGATTGAATGTATTTTTAGTCCAGTGCCTGTATAAGATTAGTATTGACCAAGTTCAGAGGCTGTCATATGTGGTAATAAATCTTTGAAAATCAAAATCTGGATTTGAATTTTTAATGTTATTATAACCTAAAGATGCTATGTGAACGTTTGAAACAAAAAATAGTGGTTTTCATCTTGCCACATTCTTGGTAAAGAAAATTTTTACTCAAATTAATCAAAATGGATTTATTGCGTTTTGGTCAGTGAACAACGGCTCTGTGTAGTTAATGCTGCTCAATGTGAAAGCACGCAGGTGATGGAGATTTACCGCTGATTACAGAACCGGCTTTCTGACAAGATGCGCGTTAAATATCGCATGCGATTAATCGTGCAGCCCTACTGTATATATATAATTAGGAATAAAAAAAAAAAAAGAATATATATATATTCACAAATTAATCAATGTGCAATTTCATGCCAGCATTTCAGCATTTGGAAGCATCATGTGACCTTGAAATTTAGTAACAACTATATACAATGGTGTCAAAAGGTGCCTCTTTTTTATTTTGGCCCACATCAATTTTTTTTTTCACATGTGACAAAAATCTTTTTATGAATGTAAGTTAAGCAGTAAAATTCAAGAATGTTCCATTTCCAATTCCAATCTGAACCACATTCATATGTGGAACCTAACTAAATAGATTTTTTTACAGTGTGACTTCAAGTATGAATCATCTGGGTAAAATGTATGTAATTTCATTTTCATGCATTTTTTTGAATTCATTATAATTCTGCACTATAATTCTGCATATGAACATGCAGTCTTTAGAAGCCTAGTATGATTTTTCAAAATGTAGTAACAACTATACAGTATACACAAAGGTGTTGAAAAGCTCCTCTTTTTTTAAATTCCAGTAAGAGCTAATGGTATTGGAGCTGGCCGTTTCTGTACAATATGCAATAGTCGGTTTGCTTACAAGGTAACACATTGCTGTCACGGTTCTTCTCCTTGTTTTCAATAGCCAGGGCAGCATTTTTTGACTGTGCCATTCCAACAGTTTTCAACTTCTGCAACAATACAAACCACTTTCTCAGACCTAGACATTAATAACACTATTAAGTCTGCACAGCTGTTTGATAATTCTATCACAGTAAGTATCATAAATCTTTAAAAATATTTTCCATCTGTACCTCATACTCTTCAGCAAAACCATCTGCATGTTTCTGCTTAAAGTGCTCTTCATAATCCTCTATTCTCATATCAGTATTACTGTGTACCATGAAACATAGAATCCATTGTGTAAAAAAAACATACAGGAAAGAATCAATTCACAACATTGTAAATTAATAAAAAAATATGTGAAATAATAATTAATAAAAAATGTTTTATCTCTGTAAACCAGAAGAAAAAATTAATTAATTACAAAATAATTTAATTATAATTGACAATATAATAAAAAAATATTTAATTATAAACATATCAAACAAAGTTACCTAAAAATGTGTAAAGGGATGTCAGGATACTGTTCCTTTGTTTGTCTAGAACAGAGAGTAATAGAGATTTGTTACTAAAATCTAGACGACTACTGTATCTTAAACTCTATTCAATCATCACTACTCTAATTATATTGGCAACTCACCTTCTTGAATAGAAGAAGAGAATCAGAATAATGATGAAGAGAAAACAGACCACTGCCAAAACTACACCAACAATCAGCCAAGTGTTCGACTCAGGGGATTCTACATGAGAATATGGTAAACTTATTAAATGTTCCCAAAAGAGATACAGATGCCTATAATATCGTTGTAACTACTTCCATATAATTTTGTTGTTCACTCTTCAAGGTCAGGGAGGAGTTTATTTTGTAATGGGTTTAAAAATATAAAAGAAAAAAGCCTTAATTAATTATATTAACCCTATCAGATCACTCAGCGACATGCTAGTGTAACAATTCTGTGATTCACACTGTTGTTTTGTGGACTAGAAGTTTGTAGTTTTGCTCTATTCCTGTTTCCAGCTCCCTCTTGTTAGTTTCCAGGTGTGTGTGTGTGTGTGTGTGTGTGTGTGTGTGTGTGTGTGTGTGTGTGTAAACAGATACAAACCTATCTGCACTTGTAATTTCAAATTACATTGTCACACTATATGCGGTATTTGCTCTGTAACAAGAGCTATGCATTATTATTTTTTATTTTTTTTTATAATTCTACATACTGGTATATAGTGAGATGCAGACAGTTTCTCCTTCTGTTGATTTATCTGCTGCCACAGCAGTGACACAGAATGTGTAATTGACTCCAGCAGTCAAATCATTGATGTGATAGGAAGTGTTAGTAGCTGTTGCATGTGTCCTTTTCTCAGTCCACTGAATTCTAAAAAAATCTCTATTTCCAGCTGGTTCATCCCATGTCAGAGACAAAGAGGATGTTGTGATTTCAGTCACTCTGAGATTCCTTACCATCTCTGGCTCTGTGTGGGGAAGAGAAAAATAAATCTGTTGGTAACAGGGGGAATTGAAATGATACAGTTGTATAACATTTGTAGTTACACCAGAGCTCAGTGAGTCTGAGCATAAAATGTACAATTTTCTACTCAAAGCGAGTAAATATGAGAAATATTTACTTAGATAGTGTCAAGGTTGAAGTCTCAGAAGACTGCTGACTAAAAATTAAAAATCCAATAAGGGGTCTTAAAAGAACAACCAAGATCACATTTGTGACAAGATCCTCACATAAAACAACATCAACAACAAAAAAAGATAGTTGGTGCTATTTATTTTGATGGAAGTTACATTGATAGTTACACCATTATTCTTATTTACTCTGTAACTGGAGTTCCCTTTCATAGGTTCACTCGATGCTGCCAATTGTGTGAAGGCCATATAGAACACTGCCAGTTCCTTGGCATGTCCACAAGAACTGCCTTCTGATGTCATCACATTTTTTAAGGATATGCCCAGCCACCATCTTAGATTTTCTTCTATTCAGGAAACAATTCGTCTGGTCTATATTTTGTTTCGTGTTTCAGTGACTTTTTGAGAGGATTATTTCTCCTCTTGGTGAAACAATATGGATTTCAGGAGGTGTGTTCTTGCCATGTTCACTTTTTTTTATTACAAGTGAGGATTCATATGGTAAGTGCACTGTTGCACCTGACAACACACCATGGCAGTCTTGCAAAAGTACCAGGCCGATGTTCTGAAAGATTTGGATGAAGGAGCTGGCTTGACACCTAAGGCAGTCAGTGAGCTCAGGTGGGCCGCTGACTTGGTGCTTCAAGCCACTAAGCACAAGGCTCGCACAGCGAAACAGCATTCAGCTGCATTACAGCGTCTTACTCCCCATCAGGCTTGAGGCTGTTTTGGGTCACCCTTGCTCTAGCTCTTCTCAACCTCCCTCAGAGGAAAGGAAGGCAGGTGCAATGGCTTGGGGTAGGGTGGGGTGGGCTTCCTCACTCTGAGAGGGTCGTTCCTGATCAGCTGGTCAGGAAAAAGGAGGGCTTGAATTCTCATACATGGACTGTATTGAGACACGAGCTAGTCAATGGCAGCAAGTAGTTTTATTCCTGTCTGAACCAATTCAAACTGGGATGAAGAAATTGTGTGGGTCTGTTGCATAGGCTCCTTGTTTTTATGTTGATAAATTTGCCAGTTGTTCTGATAGGTCTACTTCATATGCGACCATTGCAATGGTGGGTCAACATCCAGGGACTTCACCCTTGGAGGCAACCCTAAGAGCGGTACATATCCCAGGGTCTTCAATTCTGGGAATGGACTTCCTATTGAAGCAATGCTTCAGCAGGATGGAGGTGGATTTTTCGTCTAATAAAGATCATGATAATGATGATTTTTGGGTCAACATTTGTAACACATTAAAAAATAATAATAAAAGAAAGCCCTTTATAAAGGTAACACTTTATTTTAAGGACCAATTATCACTATTAACTATTAGCATGCATATTACTAGCACACTGGCTGTTAATTAGTACTTATAAATCACATATTAACGCCTTGTTCTGCATGACCATATTTTAGATGCCTTAATCTGACCTCATACCTAAACTTAACAACTACCTTACTAACTATTAATAAGCAGGAAATCAAGAGTTTATTTAGGGAAAACTCTTAATTAATAGTGAATATTTGTTCCCTATTCTAAAGTGTTACCAAAGTCTTGATTGATTATATTAGCCCTATTAAAACACTTAAACTAGGTGACATGCTTGTATATATTGAGATACAAATAGGTTTACCTTAAAAATCATAATATCTACATTATTTATTTTGGTAGACGTTACATTGATAGTCAGAACATTATACTGATATTTATTTTTGTAATAGGAGCTTTGGAAGGAGATTTGTACAAAAGAGCCCGGCCTTCCTCACCCCCGCCACTGTCTCAAGCCTGCTGGGCATTCCTCAGTCAAGCCCGCTGGCCGCGGCTCTCTCCAGCCCGCCGGCCGCTACGAAGTCAAGCCCGCCGGCCACGGCTCTCTCCAGCCTGCTGGCCGCTCCGATGTGAAGCCCTCCGGCTGCGGCTCACACAAGCCTGACGGCCGCTCCGATGTCAAGCCCGCCGGCTGCGGCTCACACAAGCCTGCCGGCCGTTCAGCACACAAGCCCGCCTGACGCTCCAAGGTCAAGCCTGGCGGCCGTTCCGAAGTCAAGCCCACCGGCCGCGCCGATGTTAAGCCCGCCGGCCGTGGCTCGCTCCAGCCCGCCAGCCGCTCCGATGTCAAGCCCGCCGGCTGCGGCTCACACAAGCCTGCTGGCCGTTCAGCACTCAAGTTCGCCGGCCTCTCTGCTGTCAAGCCATCCGGTCATCTCCCTTTCCTCAGCCAAAAAGAGGAGATTGCGGAGGAAGAGACTGTGGGCTCCAGCCCCAAAACTCGCTCCAGTGTCAGCTCCAGCCCCAGAGTCTAGCCCACGGAGGGCTCCAGTTCCAGAGTTTAGCCCACGGAGTGCTCCTGTACCCGAGTATAGCCCACGGATGGCTCCTGTTCCCGAGTATAGCCCACGGAGGACTCCTGTTTCTGAGTATAGCCCACGGAGGGCTCCATTCCCCGAGTTTAGGAGTTTAGGAGTTTACGAGTTTAACGCAGGAGAAATACAATAAACAGTCTTTAATTATAATCCACAGAGAGAACACAAGGAATCCCGGAACTGGGGTAGCACAACACATAGACACAAATAATAGCAGCCAAAGGAACAGAGGAGAACACAGGTCTTAAATACTGGAAAAGTAATTAGGCAGAACTGAAACAGGTGTGGAACTAATGAATCAAAAACCATGGAAAATAATAGACAAGGGAACTCAGGGAAATGTGAACACAGAAATAGAATGAAAACAAAATATAACCGTTACAGTTCGCCCACCTCCCGGGAAGGTACGTCCTCGCACCTAAAGAAATCCAACTGAGGAGGGAGGGTAGGGACTCTCGAGGAGGGCGTGGAGCAGGAGAAAGGTAGGAACTGGGAGAAGGTGAAGGCAGGAGGGACCATGGAGGAAAAGACGGAGGGAGGAGCCAGTGAGGAACCAGGAGCAGGAGGAGCCAGGTATTAGTCCAGAGACCAGCCAGGACAAGGCCTCAAGGTGGAGTCGAGGGAGGGAGGAGCCATGGTGGAGAAGGCTTCGACGACACCCTGGGGTCGAGCGAAGGAGACGGAGCCACTGGAGGTGGAGACCCTGGTGGAGCCGAGCAGAAGGACAGCCAGGGCAACACCCGAGGTCCGAAGGGCCAAGGCGGAGCTGACGGCTCAGGTGACCGAGGCGGAGATGGGGACCCGCAAGACTGCGGTGGAGCCGGAGCGACTGAGGACGAAGGCGGAGCCGGAGGGAAGGAGGAACCTGACCGAGCTAGAGGGACAGAATGTTGAGGCGAAGCCAGAGGAATGAGGGAGCCCGGTCGAGCCAGTGGGATGATGGGCCACGGTGGAGACGAGGGAGCAGTGAGCCAAGGTGGAGCTGATGGGTTGGAGGACAGAGGAGGAGTCCAGGTCTCGGAGGCTGGAGGTGGAGACAAGGGATCCTCATGCCTAGGCGGAGCTGGAGACTGGAAGTCCCGAGGCGGATCAGAGTGCCCAGATGGCACTGACTGAAGGTGAGCTGAGGGACTGGCAGGAACCAGCACGGAGCCACTGGAGGTGGAGACCCTGGTGGAGCCGAGCAGAAGGACAGCCAGGGCAACACCCGAGGTCCGGAGGGCCAAGGCGGAGCTGACGGCTCAGGTGACCGAGGCGGAGATGGGGACCCGCAAGACTGCGGTGGAGCTGAACTGGCTGGCATAAGAGGTGGCGGGAGAGGGAGGTTGGGTGGGAGCTTAAGAGTCACAGGGAGTTTAGGAGACACAGGAGAGCTGGACGGAACCAGTGGAGACTCAGAGGACGTAAGAAAATGGGGAATTACCTCCCCAACCCAGTCAATTAAGTCCTCTTTAAGACAGTCCATTAGTTCCTCATAATCGCTCCCAGAGGTCAGTTGCAGCCCACCCTCAGCGTCGGCAGTGGGGTGCTTCCTTCCAAGCCCACAATCTCCACGAGGACTCCCACGGTGATACATGGTGTTGCTGGCTAACACACCTGGTCAGTCGCATTCTCGTGCTCGGGTTCCGGGACAATGTTAGGCTCTGTCACTGTTCCAGCGCTGGCTCTTTTATCGCTGCAGGCTCAGGCTCTGTGGCTGCAGTGGTCTCTGGCGAGTTCTCCATGCAGCGGGGTGCTGTTTGGCTTGGCTCTGTGTCATGCTGTGTTCTGGATCGGGGGCTGACACTCTCCAGACACCGGATGATCGCCTCCCTCCAGCTCAGTCCTGTGGTGTCTGGGAGGTCAATGGGGCGATGGAAATTTGCCCCGATCCAGAACAGAGACTTCAGGGTCTCGTTATCAAAGGGGCTTTGTGCGGCAAAACTGGCAAAACAAAAAGTAAAAGAAAAAACATCTTGGCTTTCTCGAGCTACGGCGGTGAATCTCGCTGCCTACTCCATTTTTTTTGCCTGCTATTCTGTCATGGTACTGTGCTAAACAAGGCGCACAACGCAGGAGAAATACAATAAACAATAAATAGTCTTTAATTATAATCCACAGAGAGAACACAAGGAATCCAGGAGCTGGGGTAGCACAATATGTAGACACAAATAATAGCAGTCAAAGGAACAGAGGAGAACACAGGACTTAAATACTAGAAACATAATTAGAGAAAACTGAAACAGGTATGGAGCTAATTAATCAAAAACCATGGACACTAATAGACAAGGAAACTCAGGGAAATGTGAACACAGAAACAGAACCAAGACAAAACATAACCGTTACAGCACCTCAGTGATAAAACTCATGCATTCGGATGGCGATTTATTCATGCTGGAGGAGCGAGTTTTGTGGAAACATGCGCGCTGCTCACGTGGTCGGTTGCATGATTGCCTGCTTTAAATAAAATAGCACATGCTTGGAATAATGAGAATACATTTGTGTTTAA